TGCATCTTGACTCCATTAAATAACCATGCCACAGAGCTGATGTTTTTCCTTTTGAGTGAGACCAGTGATTCAATGTCTGGCACACTTCACTTCAGTCATCATAACAATTATGGGAGGTGGTTCCATGGTGATTATGATCACTAGTGACTCAAGGTGCCCGGTGTAGTTTGTTGGGTGCTGCTGTAACACCACAGGTGGGACTGGGTGGTTTATAATGAGCAGAGGCTGACTGGGCATGTGTGGGGTCAGGTGCCCAGTCCTCGCTCCTCTAGTGGCCAAGGAGAACTGCGAGGTTAGGGCCAGCCTGGGGGGGGGGGCGGGGGGGGGGAGAGGAGAGAGAGAGAGAGAGAGAGAAGAGAGAGAGAGAAGTTAAGTGCACATCTGTCTGATTTCAGGGAGAGACAAGAAATGCGGGCCCAGTTCCTGGCTCTGCTTCCCACCCTGGTGTATCAGTCAGCTTGGGTTGCCACAGCTAAAGGGCGGACCACAGCATGACGGACTTCATTGAGTTTTCACGCTGTGGAGGCCAGAAGCCCAAGGTGAAGGTGCTGCCAGTATCAGTTCTGAGAGGGAGAACTACTCCCTCTCTGCTGCTCCTTCCTCCTTCCTCCTGTGTCCCTCTTCTGCTCATTCCCTCCTCTTCCTCCTCCAGTTCAGTAGGATTAAGGTCCCTGTTTGTCTGCTAGCTTGCTTGATGATTTGGCTGTACCAGGGACTGAAACTCAGGCCTCACACAGTGAGTGCTGGAAGAGTGCTCCACACCATCCCAGCCCTCATTTGTTTATTTTTCAGAGCGGAATTCCCTGAATTTCCCAAGTTGGCGCTGTGCTTGTCATCCTTGTGCACAGCCAGGTGCCCTACTTCATCTGACTGTCATTTACCCTTAATCACCTCCACAAAGCTCTGTCTGCAAACACGGTCCCTTGGAGGTTATGACTTCAGCCTGTGAGGGGCGCGATTCAGCCCATAACACATAATGACCCCACTTCAGAGTAAGCAGTCATCTAATGACTGTTCAGATCACTCTTGTTGCCACACCTTTGGAGATTTTACAGACATCACCTCTCACTGGTGTCTGTCAGATTCCTTGTCAGATTGCTTCTTTATTGTCGTGCAGGGCCCCATGGTCAGCAGCAGCCTGGTCTGCCCTGGTATCCTCTGACACAGTGTGGCTCCTCCACATGGCAGCCTGTCTTTCCCCACCCTCTGGCTTGTGGCCAGGCTCCATGGACTTGACCTGGTCGCACATAGTCTCAGTGTCACATTTTATCCAGTCTGACAGTGTCCGCCTTTAGCTGGGATGTTTAGGCCCCCTAGGCCTTGGTAGCTGTTGGTATTCTTGAATGGGCTAGGATCTAATATCTTACTTAGTTTCTTTTTGTCTTCTCTGTGTTCTTTTTTTTCTTTCTCTTTTTTTTTCTTGTTTTGAACTGAGTCTTTTTAAAATTCCAGTTGTCTCTTTTGTTAACTCATTAGTGAAATCTAGGTTTACTTTGATTTTTTCCTCTCTTCCTGTTAGCAGAAGATACCTTGTGCATTTGACATCATCACCTGCCTGCTGGCAGTACCGTACTGCTCTGAGTACAGTATCCAAATCTTCTGGTTCACTGTCTCCTGGTCTTTCTGCCACTGTTACACATTTCCATCTACACTGCTACAAATTCTGCAGTACATTGTGGCTATTTGTCTCCAAAAAGTCAATTTAAAAGTAAGGATATTTATGTGTACCTACTATTTTATAGTTTCTGTGGCTCTTTGTGTAGACTCAATTCCCAAAAGGGCTCTTTTTTTTTTTCTTTAGACATTTTTGGTCCTATAGGTTTTCTGATGATGAGTTTTTTGTTGTTGTTTTGTTTTTTTATTTTTCCACATCTGAAAAAGCATTCTGCTTGGTTTTTAGAGGAATTCTTAATTGAAGCCCAGTGTGGTGGTATGCACACCTGTAATCCCAGTGCTCAAGAGGCTAAGGCAGGAGGACCCCATGAGTTTGAGGCCAGCCTGAGCTACTTACTGAGTTCAAGGCCAGCCTGGACAGTGAGCCCTTGTCACAAAAAAAGGACCTAGCGCTTGCCAGCCAGTCACTTATGCTGCTGAGCTAAATACCCTGCCCCTAAAGGACAAATTCTTAACCGAGAGGGTTTTATTCTGTTTTGGTGTTTGTCTTAGAGCCCATGAACATTCTTCCTGGGGTGCTGCTTTTCTCTCCCTGGCCTCTACCCTCCCTTCCTGTTCTTTGTCCCTGCTCCAGGGAGTCTGCTGGGCCCTGCCTGGCCTCTGCCTGGGGCCCAGCCTGGAAACTTGCTTCAGAGTAGCTGTGGGGCTCCCTTGTTTGCTACCTCTCAGAGATCACGGGCCTCAGTTGTCTTTTTTGTCCAGTTCAGAAAACAGGTTTTTTGAAGGGCATTTTTGTTTCTGATTGTGAGATAAATCACATCCTACCTGGAAAAGAGCCCAGTGACTACCTGAGCCAAGCTGTAGCATTAGCTACCCACTGCTCTGTACAGAAATTCATGAAAGGGGTCGCTGCAGAAACCACCCACCCGTCCACTGCTAAGGCTCGCACGGCGTCCTCCCCACATTTGCAGACCTGGAGCAGACCCTGCTGCCTGGATGAGGGGACAGACAGGTGCTATGCTGAAACTTGCCGGAGAGAGGACACACTGGCTCTTACTGCCTTCCCCTGCCAGGCCAATTCTCCACTGCTTACTGTGGTTGCAAAAAGGTGTCTAAAGGTTACTGTTGATTCCCAAAACATTCTTTACATGAATTTTAGCTTTAAATTTTTTGGCCATCAACTGTGTTACATATATAATCTCATTCTGGGGTATTTGCATGAAAACTTCACTGACAGTGTCACATACTACACGACATAGACCATTAGGGAGTTTTTAAATACTGACTACACCAGGTTTGCTATTTGAAGATTAAATATTAGTTGAAGGATTGGGGATTTAACTCAGTGATATAAGCGCCTCCCTGGCAAGCGCAAGGTTGTGAGTTTGATCCCTGGTACCAAATACATACATACATACATACATACATACATACATACATAAATATTACCTGAAGATGACTGAAAATTTCTGCCATAGCACAAGGTATGCTAAAAAATCAGAAGATAAAGTATTATTTCTCAGGAGTTTCAGAAGTGTGCATATTTCATAGGCCAGGACCATGGCTTGGTGGTCAGATGCCAGCCTCCCTGCCTGAGGCCACACTTTGAGGTGCAGTAGGGGCGGGGAGTAAGAAGTTGTTATTCCAGTTTTCCAAGAGTATTTCAGTGTTCAAATTTACATGTTTAATCATAAAGCCTACTTTCTTCTCCCACCTATGCTAGTGTTTCAAAATCACAATTCTCTTGAAAGGGTCACATTTTAATATTTCAGGTTTAAAATTAGTTATAATTTTGGTGTCTTATTTAACCCTTAATGAAATTAATCTTTAAAATATCATTTATCCAATACCAACAGAAGAAATTATTATAAATGATTTTTATCAAGCAATAGACTCCAGATAAATGAGAAAAGAACCACATAATTACATTATACTTAATGTTTTATGCTCAATAAATTGAAATGCTAAAACTTTTGAACACTAAACCAAAATCCAGATGGAATTGGTCTTTTCTGCTTTGGAGTGTTTTTAATCAATGGATTTGTAGCTAGCTTCCTATAATAAAGGGTAAGTTATTTAAGAACTATTGTTTTTCATGGCTCTTACCTGGGTATAACACTAGTTTTTGTAATTATATAGATTATATAACTTCATAAAGATTCCTGGCTTGTTACATATGCCAGTGTAATGATTGATACATTGTGTCAACTTGAGAAGTTTAGAAGTTTAAGTGACTCAGCAGGAAGAGAAGGTCCTGATCTTGTAAATGTCCTATCTTAAGCAAGAGGAGGGCAGGGAGATGATGTGAGTGCTGCAACTGCCCTCCGACACACTGTATCCTCCTTACAATGTAAGGGAGGAAAAGAGGCTTGCTCCCTTGGCTTTTTTTTTCTCGTGTTGCTTTTGCTGTCGTCTGCCACCTTAAACAGTTTCCCCTCTGCCATGTCACCCTGCCTTGGAGCCAGCTGATTAACTGAAACCTTCACAAATTATAAGCTAAACAAATCTTTCCTTCATTTATTTTGGGTGTGGCATATTTTGTCCAAGCCACCAGAGAAACCAGCAAGGTAGTTCTGGATACAAAGTTGCATTAGTCTACAGAACTCCTCAACTCCCTTCCCTTCTGGTGTTTACAGGAGACAAACAAGTAATAAACATTTGTAGTTTGTAGGAAGGGCCTAATTGACACAAAATGGTTTCAGTTCTGCCACAAACAGAAAAGAGTCCATAATATCCAAAGAACTCTAACAGAATGCAAACAGCATTCTTGATCATCAGTGATCATTGTACAGCTTTGTCATACAGTAGCCCTTTTGCATATTTAGTGACATTTACTTACCTCAAAAGTAAATACTATGCTAATGGGAGAGCAAACGTCTGCCCATTGAATTTCAAAAGAAAACATTTTGAGCCATGTAATGTCTTGGGTTAGCAAGAAATTGTTTTAGAACATGTCAGGCCTTTTGTCCAACGCACAAGGAAATCCTCTAACTTTACATTAATAATTTTTCTTTGTTTTGGGGTTCAAGATGTTTTTTGCTTAAGAACTATATTCTTACATGGAAAAAAGTAAAATTCGTTCTAGAAATAATATATATTACAAAGTAGGCAGTTTTGTCATAATACTTGGGTTTTTCAGCTTTCTATCATACAGGAAGTTTAAAAGTACTATAAATTGAGTTACAGGTTCATCACCCCTTATCCAGAAGTGCTGTGCCAGAAGTGTATCAGATTGGGAATTTTTTGGATTTGGAATATTGGCAGATATGTAATGAAGTATCTTAGGGATGGGACCCAGGTCTAAAGGCAGATTTATTTACATATCATACACAACTTCTAGTGAAAGTTTGGTACTTAGTTTGGTTTGGTTTGGCTTTTTGTTTCAGGATCTCTCTATGTAGTTCAGGCTGGCCTTGAACCGACTGTACCCCAGGCCGGCCTGAGCTCCTGCATCAGCCTCCCGAGTGCTGGGATTCCAGGTGTGTGCCAGCATACCCAGCTTGAAGGTACTGTTGTTATGCAGTATTCTTAGAGTGCCTGCCTTTTCACTATACCTTGCCACATGAGATCAAGTGTGGAATTATTCACTTGTATGAGGTCAGCACTCAGAAGGTTTGGAATTTTGGATTAGAGATGCTCAGGGATAAAGTCTGCAAGTATTTCATAATCCAACAGACTTTGAAATATACCACCCTTCTGGTATTTCAGCTAAGGCAGTACTCAGCCTGTAGTGTTAATGATAAAATATCTAAAATTAGCAAGTGGATATTTTACATTGACCTTGTTCACACTAATTCATCTTAGATGCTTGATATTTGTGTGTGTGCATAGATGTACACACACATACAAGCATGTACACATTTGTAAATTACAAAAAAAGCACTAGTTCTAGGCCTGACTTGTCAGAATGCCTGACAATAGAGAATCAATATTAGAAAAATGTGGGGATCATTTTGGAAGGTAAGTAAAATCCCTTACTCCCTCCAGCTAGTGGGCATCCTTTCTCTCCTGTCTCATGACAACCAGTGCTTTTCCCTTAGCTTCTCTGAGACCTGGTGTGATAGTCTATGGGGCCTGGCCTTCAGAATTACTTTAGGCTTCTGTACTTTAGTGATGACACCATCAGATGACAAATTAGCTGTAAGGGCATTGTTGAGAAATAAATTACCTTAAAACACTGACTGACAGCTGAGGCCCAGGGGACATATAAATATGATTTCCGTCTATGTATGTGTGTGTATAACTCTCTTACTGTAAATAAGTTAAATTCTGTTTCTAAGAGTCACAGTAAAATCAGAGTTAAAGTGTGTACTTTCCCTGCTCTGTGGTCAAGTACTATCCTGGGCACTTTAATGGAATGATAAATATATTCTACCTGGGCTCTGGGTCCAGCGTAATACACAAGCCATTATGCTAGCGTAATAATTGCTACGCTGTTGGTAGTGTGGAGGATTTCCCTCCGCATGTGCCCCAGTCTTGTCTGCAGGCCTCGGTTTATAAGTGTGTTCCTTTCCACCACTGAGCTACACTCAGCCCCACAGCGCATGCTCGCGAAGCTGTCTATCCCTTTGCTTTCCCTTCCTCTTGAGTATTTTCTAACTCATTCACAATCCTTCTTTGGAGTTTCAAAAGTGTCAGGTTTAGGGTGGGCGTGGTGGCACACACTACAATCCTGCACTTTGGAAGGCTGAGGCAGGAAGAGTGTAAGTTCAGTTCCCCCTTGGACAGCTTAATGAGACCCTGTTTTTAATTTTTAAAAAACCAGCTTTTAAGGTTAGAATTTGGGTGACCATGGCAGATAGAAGCCAGTAGCAGTCAGAGGCAGTAGACACTGATAAAACACAAGTAAAGTTTTAGGTAAACACCCCATGTCTCAGATACAAAAACAGGTTCAGATGGGCTACATCAGCAGAGAAACAGAGCATTGTGACAGGAAAAATGGTAACCTGAAGTCTCTGAAGAATTTACAGGGAAGTGAGCTGGGGATTGGACATGAAGGTGTTTTACAGTAAAGGCAGTGTTAAGGTTCAGGGGTTGATCATTGGTACAGGGACCCAGGGACACGCAAGACCAATATGTATGTACCTGTGCTAAATCCTGAAAGCAAATGTAAGTACGCATCACAAACATACACTAATGCAATAATTTTTTCTTGTCTTTTTTGAGACAAGGTCTTACTATGCAGCTCAGGCTGGCCTTGAGCTCACTTTGTAGCCCAGGCTGGTCTCAAATTTGTAATGGTCCTCTTGCTGAGCCTCCAGAGTATGAGATTACAGGTGTTCACCACCATGGCTGGCTATTAATAAAAAATCAATTAATAAAACATCAAGAATGACTTGGGGGGGCAGGGATTTAGCTCAGTAGCATAAGTACCTTAGCAAATGCAAAGTCATAAATTCGATCCCCGGTACCAAAAAAAAAAAAAAAAAAAAATGACTTGGGGAGGAACTGGGATATAGATCAGCATGGCACAGCGCCTGCCCGGCAAGCACAGGGTTGTGTGTATGAGTCCTTGTACCAAAGAAAAACCAAAACAAAAAAGATTTGTGCTAAGCTCAGGAATACCTCAGGCACCGAGACCTCTGTCCGTGGTTCTCGCTGAGCTAGAGTTGGGGTTGGACTCATGAGTGGTAGAGTTTGCGTGGACCTGCCGGGTAAGACTAGGGAGTCCCCACATTCCTGACATTTTGTGTTTGAGACTAGTGGGGCTTCCCTTTATCATTGTGTTGCTGTGAGTTTCTGAGCATCTCTCAGGTGTGCTATCTCTCTGAAATAAAGTTCTTCAGCTGTGAGTCAATGAAAATGTATGCTTCTGATGATTCCTTTGAACTCTCTAATACCTGAATTTTGCATGAAAACTAACACTTTTTTTTTTTAGTACTAGGGATTTGAACGCAGGGCCCCAGGCCAAAGGTTGACCACTGAGCTATATCCTCAGCCAGTTTTATTTTTTGAGACAGGATCTAAATTGCCCAGGTTGGCTTCAAACTTGCAGTCTTCCTACCTCTTCCTCCTGAGAGTGAGATTACAGGCATGTACCTGCTCAGCTTTAAGTTACCCTGGCCTTTTGCCCAGAGAAATGGCTTACTTTTCCTTTATGATAAAAGAACCAAGCTTGGTTTTAATTGTAAGTACTTTGAATGCACAACATTGAACTATATGCAGATGAAATTGTTCATTTAAAACAAAGCATTATAAGGATATTCTAGTTGGGATATTGTTCTTCCCAGAACTATATCATCTGGACTTTTTCCATAATACCTAAATTGTGAGAATTTTTTATAAGAAAGGAGTAACTTCTAAATTATCTTAATACTAGGATTCTTTGAAAATGCATGTGTCCAGTGAGCTTTCTAGAGTATGTGTCTAAGTTGGGAGGTGGTCTTGGGGTCATTAGTATCTGAAGAACTATGTGCTTCTGTTACTAGGGGCTGGGATATAGTTCAGTGGCATGGTTACTGGAATGTGGGTCTCAAAGGAGTTCTCTGCTTACTGATGGTGTGGCCTTGGGCAAGAAATTTTACAGTGTCGTATTCCGTCTGTGTAATGCGGGGAGACCTATACTGTGGTGTGTAGTTTCCACAGTGTTCCGCGGCTGCGGGCGGTGCCGGAAGTGGTGCTAAGGACCCAGCCCTTGGACCCACCTTCCAGAGGTTGCTGGTGTCGTTCTCCTGCCTAAGTGAGCTGGCGGCTGAGGCTGAGGGTTGCTGAGCTGTGCGGGCCAGCACTGGTGCAGGCCTGGGCCCCTGAGTCCCCTCAAGAGATGACCTCAGGGAGCACTCTGCATGTCATGGCAGAGTGTGACACATCTTTATGGGACGGTTTGGACTGTGTGACAGTAAAATTTATAGCCAGTTTTAAAATGCTGTGTATTAGATAAAAACACGAGTTTAAATTTTCAGATTGTAGCTTGTACTGCAGTGTTCTGGCTATAACTCTGAATTTTGATGTATTTAGAGTGTGGAAATATTTGGTTGAATTTAAACAAATCACACTCCTGTCCAAAGAGCTGTCTTTTAAATTTTTAATTTTTGTGGTACTGCACCCTCACAATGAACTGTATCTCTATTCTTCTAATTTTTTTTCCAAATTTTGAGTTAGGTCTCCTAAGATCTTCATTTGCCCAAGGTGGACCAGAATTTAGAGTCCTCTTGCTCAGCTTCCTGAGTGCTGAATTACAAGTCTCTGCTGCCACACACACCTCAAAAAGTTGCTTTTAAAAGTAATTTCCTGATAAGTATGTTTACATATAACTTGTGTTTTATAACAGCATGTTGAGGATTTTAAGAAATCAAGTTTAAATTTTGTGGGTTAACGTAAAACATAAAGAATACTTTAGCATTTGAAGAGACTATTCTGTTGATGACAGTATTTATTTGTGATTAATGGTAAACTATTAGTGTACGTACATAATTGTTCTTCCACTTATAGCAACAGCCACTGGTTTTTATTCTTGTCACTAAGGTTAATTCTGCCTCTTGCTCTTTATTTTAAAATGTATTTAAAATAAGCTACACGAGAAATACATTTAGATTCTATTTTCAGTATACAACTTTAAGAAAAACTTGATGCACTTTGGTTATTTGAGAAATGCAAATTAAAACAACACTGAGATTCAATCTCACATCAGAAAGAAAGTGTATCATCAAGAAATTGACCAGTAACAAATGCTGGACAGGCTGTGGGGAAAAAGGAACTCTTCTCCACTATTGGTGGGACTGGTGCAACCACTATGGAAATCAGTGTGGATATTCCTAAAAAAAACTAGGATTGGAGGTCCTGTTTGACCCAGCTATTCCCTTTCTGAGTATCTTCCCAAAAGAATTAAAAACATCATACCACAGCAATATATGTGTACCCATGTATATAGCAGCACAGTTTATAATAGCCAGATCTTGGAAACAACCTAAATGCCGATCAACTGAGGAACGGTAAAAGATGTAGATGTTTTTATACAATGGAGTACTATTCAGCCATCAAGAAGGATAAACTCGAGGCTTTTATAGGTAATGGATGCAACTAGAGACCATACTCATAAGTGAAATAAATCAAACTTGCATGTGTAAACATCCTGTTGTCTCCCTAGTGTAAGAAACTGAAACAGTAAATAAGATCCAAAAGGCATAGTAGACATTGTGAAAGGGAAGGAAACTGTTCAAAAGGAAAGAGCAACTGGAATATGGGGGAAAAGAGAAAAGAAGGAAGGGGGAAGACAGAATATAGTATACACATACACAGGATAGCTTACATAATTGCACTAATTTCTATTGAAAGGAACAGTGCTTATATCGTTTGAATTTTATATGCCTTTGCTAATCTGAGCAACTATTTGGAAGATACTAACGTGAAACATAATAACCACTGTTTATTTCCAGTCATCTTGTTTTTATCATTTTTATTGTTTTTTAAATTCTCTTTAAAAATAAAACAAATTGAAAAACTTGATGTGCTTGTACCTTGTTTTCCTCATCTGGGAGTAAAGTAGATTACTCTGTAATTCTTAAAT